TGTTAAGATTCTGGATGCTGTCTAATATTTCTTCTCTAGTTATAGGCGAATCTAGTATGTGTTCTGTGAGTTCACAATTTACGTCAGAGTTCAGAGTATTATCATCAGCTTCCCATTCGGATATTTCACCGTCTGTTAAGTTTGCGAACGAAAACAATTTTTTGAAGTGATCAAAGCAATGTTATGTATCAATTTTATTCGTCGCAGGCTTCGAGTTGAGACGTTTTTACTCATTCCAAAATCGTTTTGAATCATTTATGCCATTTTCTATTATTGTTTGATTATTTGTATAATATTCGGTGCGTTTTCGTTTGCACATGGAATGGTATATGTTTCTGATTTCAACTCTAATTGGTCATGAGGATAAAGCCCCACTCTACACCCTTTCAGGGTTTCGGAGCATTGGAGCATTTTGTCTACTTAAGTCACTCACATTCACTCAAGTCAATTCGAAAAATAGTTGAATTATTTCAAACCGTTTGTAATCTGATAATTTCAACTGTTTTCATTATCTGTGCGTGGTAAACCTGAAATCAAATACAATGTATGTGCGTATATTTTCCCGAAAATTAGCATCTCTTAGCAACTGTGTTCACATGTAATTGTGCATTGTTTTCGAAGAATGGTTATTCGTGGAAAGCCGTTTAGTAATCCAATCCCACGGCGTTAATCCCACGGCGTTAATGAACATAATTAGATACTACACAATGTAGTGTCTGGTGTCCCCCGCCGTGATATTGCTGTAATATTGCTAAAAGCGGTGTAAACTTAAACTCACTCAGTACAGACCCTGTATCAAATATACCCAATGTAGTTACTGCAAATCTAGAAAACGTGGCAAGTCTAGATTACCGCAGTCTCTGAAAATGAAGAAAGTCTCTGGGCTCCTTTTTATTGTATTTTATTGATATAATATAGACCATTATTTTTTCTGTAAAATATGTTCATTTCAGAGACTAGATGTTAGCCTATTCTGATACACTAGCTTTAGTGTTTTGGAGATTGACGGAGCGCTTCAAGCTTACACTGATCCAGTGACATTGAAAGCAGTAGGACTGTAATGCTGATACAATTCAAGTTGATGATGGTGCTACATATAGGGGAATGGCCCGGCGCAACGAACAGTGATATGGTTGGCTGTTTGGACATTTAAGGCCAGGTTTGTGAAGAAACACATTCACTGTTAGGTTCGGTTTGTTTCTTGTTTAACGCCGCACTCAGCAATATTCCAGCTATATGGCGTCGGCCTGTAAATAATCGAATCTGGACCAGACAATCCAGTGATAAACAACATAAGCATCGTTCTACGCAACTGGGATACGATGACACGTGTCAATCGAGTCAGCAAGCCTGAATACCGGATCCGGTAGTCGCCTCTTACAAAAGGCAATGCTGCTGAAGATCAATTCTAACAAGGATCTTCACGCCGGGTCACACCTTTAAGCAAACCGAGGCGGGGGCAGGACGCGATTACCTTTTTGTGAAAACCTGTTGTCATCACGGGTTATCAGTGATGTTCAGTGAATCATTGAAATATGTTTCTTGCGGCGCTTATCGTGAAGATACACAACACTATCTACTTGCTTGTCCAAACTACGCTGTGTTAAGAAAGGATGCGGTGTATTACAAAAATACGTACAACTTAAAGACAATTCTATATGGAAATAGTGAAATATCTGATCTTGATAACCTTGCCATCTCAAAATCTGTTTACCTCTTCATCACTGCTTCTTGTAGATTTGGTACAAAATATGGTTGAAGAATTGTTAGCTTTAAGAAATATGTCGGTTGTTACAATGAAATTGCTATTGAAATATTAATTATCATCTGACTGTACATTAAGCTTGTGGTTTGTCATTTGATTATCTTGCATTATAATTTTGGTTTATTTACCTTTGTAAATTATATTGGAGCGGCATTAATCTAAGATAAGTTTGCCAATCCACTCGTTTCACGAATAAATATGTTTAAACCAAATATATTTCTTCTCTGTGTTTGACTTTGGCGCCTAATGTAATCTGTCCCTGTGAATAATCGGGAATGGTTATTATCTGACGCTGACGTTTTTTATTTACAAACAACAAGAGCCAGAGTAGCGGCCATTGTTACAGTTGACTTCCTGTCCTCAAGATATTTCCCAAGGCGTTGCTGAAGTAAATGAAGATCATTCATGATATCCCAACTCAGTTGAACAGCAAACCTACTGGACCCGTATACAGCGTCACAAAGGCAAGTCCCTATTTTCAAACTTATATGAACAGCAAACCTACTGGACCCGTATACAGCGTCACAAAGGTCAGCCCCTATTTTCAAACTTATATGAACAGCAAACCTACTGGACCCGTATACAGCGTCACAAAGGCAAGTCCCTATTTTCAAACTTATATGAACAGCAAACCTACTGGACCCGTATACAGCGTCACAACGGTCAGCCCTATTTTCAAACTTATATGAACAGCAAACCTACTGGACCCGTATACAGCGTCACAAAGGTCAGCCCCTATTTTCAAACTGATATGAACAGCAAACCTACTGGACCCGTATACAGCGTCACAAAGGCAAGTCCCTATTTTCAAACTTACATGAACAGCAAACCTACTGGACCCGTATACAGCGTCACAACGGTCAGCCCCTATTTTCAAACTTATATGAACAGCAAACCTACTGGACCCGTATACAGCGTCACAAAGGTCAGCCCCTATTTTCAAACTTATATGAACAGCAAACCTACTGGACCCGTATACAGCGTCACAAAGGCAAGTCCCTATTTTCAAACTTACATGAACAGCAAACCTACTGGACCCGTATACAGCGTCACAAAGGTCAGCCCTATTTTCAAACTTATATGAACAGCAAACCTACTGGACCCGTATACAGCGTCACAAAGGTCAGCCCTATTTTCAAACCGTATGGACCCGTATACAGCGTCACAACGGTCAGCCCTATTTTCAAACTTATATGAACAGCAAACCTACTGGACCCGTATACAGCGTCACAAAGGTCAGCCCCTATTTTCAAACTTATATGAACAGCAAACCTACTGGACCCGTATACAGCGTCACAAAGGTCAGTCCCTATTTTCAAACTTATATGAACAGCAAACCTACTGGACCCGTATACAGCGTCACAAAGGTCAGCCCCTATTTTCAAACTTATATGAACAGCAAACCTACTGGACCCGTATACAGCGTCACAAAGGTCAGCCCCTATTTTCAAACTTATATGAACAGCAAACCTACTGGACCCGTATACAGCGTCACAAAGGTCAGCCCCTATTTTCAAACTTATATGAACAGCAAACCTACTGGACCCGCATACAGCGTCACAAAGGTCAGCCCTATTTTCAAACATATATGATATACAGCATATATACATATAGAAGCTCCACCTGCTTACATTAGAGACTATACGGTTTACGGAAGACGTGCATGCGTTATAAAGACTTGAAGGATGATTAGATAACATACTCACATACACTCTACTCTCCACAGGTTGTTTACAGGTTCAATCTTCAACCAAATGAACCTACTGTAGCAATAACCCCCCTAGTAGTACAGGTTAGACTGGCTAGTCGTTCTGTGTGATAGTGTGTCATGGTATCCCCACGGTTAGAAGCATTGTATTTGTATCAAATTGTATTTTTCTCTCAATATTCAACAGAAGTAAATGCTGTAGAAAGTTTTTTTTTGTGCCACACGCACGATCTGCACATCATAAAGAACATTACTGCAGGAATATAATTCTAAAAGAATGCGAAAGTTGTGCGAATATAAATGTGGATATGTATTATTATACTGGCAGAAGAAACTTTTTTCTCATGAGTTCCATGCAAAAAGATTCAGATTTACACAAAACTATCCTAAATGACTCCACGACAAGTAAGTATGACTCAAACCTTCCTACACTCAAGTTTCCCTTTATGTCAAACACTATTCAAGCTACTCCAGCCTGCGGTAATCCATGTCTAAAATCATTCTACCCGTGAAGGTCCGGGTTAGAATATTGATCTTCAATAACCCATGCTTGTCGTAAGAGGCGACTAACGGGGTCGGGTGGTCAGGTTCGCTGACTTGGTTGACACATGTCATCGGTTCCCAAATGCGCAGATCGATGCTCATGCTGTTGATAACTGGATTGTATGGTCTAGACTCGATTACTTACAGACCACCGCCATATAGCTGAAACATTGCTGAGCGCGGCGTGAAACTAAACTCACCCACTCACTCTAAAATCATTCGGGAGTAGAGTCGCGCATGCAACGATCACTCTAGGTTGTTGATTTTAAAGCGCATCATACAACTCCTGCTTTATAATCATGGTTACAATCTTAGTAAAGCTCTAAACAAAATGTTAAAAGTACATTTCCTCAAATGACGCATCAGTAACAAAACAATGTCCTGTACAATTCTCTATTTACACTTGTTCACAATTTGTGAAACATTTTGTGTCTGTGGTATTAACCCCAGCATTGTTTTGTAGGAATTGCCGTTAAAGGGAGATAACTTCAAGTTTCCCCTTTCAAAGAGACATAAAAGCATCTTTAATTATCAGCATTCTGATTTCTGTAAATTATATTAGTCAAACATTTATGAACTGTACAATCTGACAAGAAAATATGTTTTTATGTGATAGTATCATGGCATTGCTAATATTTCTCTGTCAGCCCAGTGCAAGCTCAACATGCCATACATTTCAAAGGGTTTTTTTTCTTCTTTTGACATAGGAACAATACATTTTCAATTGTAGGATTCTGTTACTACCGTACCTACAGGGGGTGAGTGGATGTGTTGAACAGTATTCCCGTTACACCACGGCGTGTCAGGGGGGATGTTGGGAGGAAATCTCTAAATGATGCACGTCTCAGACGTTTGAAACCCATTGGAATATCTAGAAACCTCATCGTGGCGACTTAGGATTTAAACCCACAATCATAGCGATTTGTGCGCCTTACACAACTGTTTCCTGCATCTAACAAGAACGTAAGGGGAGATTCACAGTTCTGCTTTTATAAACTTTACTGTGCCAGTTCGTATCCAAACATGGCGGTAACCTAGTGGTTAAAGTTCGTCACGCCGGAGACCCGGGTTTGATTCCCCACATGGGTACAATGTGTGAAGACCATTTCTGGTGTCTCCCGCCCTGATATTGATGGAATATTGCCAAAACGACGAAAATCTAAACTGACTCACTCACTCATATCGAAACACGACAGCAGTGAATCAGGTCTTTCTGGCTAACCGTTGTTTCCATCACCAAATAAGAGAGCATCGTTTATTAGGTGATGCTGATCTACTTCCTCCAGCTGAATCAAAGAGTTGTCATCTAGAAGCAATGGGACGTCATCTTGGTCGCGGTGATGCTGAACAATGGCGTCGTTGATGCCACCTTCCGCCATGGGAGGGTTGTCATTGGGTACGTCGTCCATCTCTATTAACACTTCTGAACACGCCTCCCCTGGATCAGGTCCGTGCAAGGTTTCTTGGTCCTGGGATGGCTCAGTCAGAAGATCTGCATAGTTATCTTCATCCTCGGCGTCCAGTAACTGCAGAAAAACATTGGATGCTTTGACCAGAGAAGCTTAGACGTGAACAGTTGTACATGTGATTGACAAACTGCTGAACCATCAGGTAAGACAGATCAAAAGGCCCTATCAACCGCCCTCTTCGTATATCAAATCATTACATCCATATTGTATGTGCGTTTGAACTAAAATTCGAACGAAATGTTTTTTCACGTACAGAAATAAATTAAATATGACTTCCACTCGTAAACTGCAGAAATATTGCACTATGTAGGAGAGCTGGCGAAATTGAAAAAAAACACACCCAAGAAACAAATGCAGTGTGAGATAGGTTAGATTTAAATTACCTTATGATGTCAAACGACATGATCACACATAAGAAAATAGGTCAGGGTACTAATTAATACTGTACCTCAAAATTCAGAGATGTAAGATTATTCTGTGCCACCCATTAACACATTTTATTCACTATTGACATAAACTTTATGAGTATACATTTTGCAGAAGAAAGAGTGGAACAGCATTGGGAAGAACCAAGGACCAAGGGGTTGCCATTAAAATATTTTTCCAAACTGTAAACAATTATATGATAATGATAGGATATTCATATAGCGCACATATCCACGCAACTAGTACATGCTCAAGGCGCTTGAGTGTTACCTTGATCAACGGATGTCTTTTTTCTGGCATTCTTTTAACCAACTCAACTCACTGGGGAGTATTCAACTCATGCTGCCTGTTAGGTGCAGCGAGTTATCACACAGCCTCATCCTCACAAGGTATCCATTTGCAGCTGGGTGAACTGGGACACATAGTCACAGTATTTTGTCCAATGATATTGCACGTTACTATACCCGCAACTAGCTATCTGCACGTGTTCGTGTGTCCACCATCTGGTCACCTACCATCGGATGAGTGGGTTCTTTTAAGTGCACAGGGTTGTGTACTGAACACTAGGAGCCGAATTATGGAAAGAAGTTTAATTTAGACCAGGTTTAAGGCTAGTCTGGGTTTTGGTAAACCCAGACCCCGTGTCTAAAATAAACGGTATTATAGAAAGCAGGTCTGGCAAAACCCTTGGTTTCCGCTTTAAACCTAGACTGGGGTTTAATGTTTTTCCGCTTTAAAAACGATTTTTAAACCGTTTTTGCGCATAATCAGTGTCCTATTTCCGTTTTTGACTCAGCGTTTTATACGTTGCATGGCGGTACATGACGGCACATGACAGTAGCGTTTCAAACGTCAAGGTAAGGCAATATGGCATCTAGAATACAAAACTTTACTGAGGAACACAAGCTGTACATTCTCCAGTGTATTGAGGATAATATTTCAATCATTGAAGACAACACTGAAAGAGCCTGCAAGTAATGTTAGCCACAAGGTTTTTACACCTTTACATATTATGATGAGTATCATCAAGACTAACGAGGTAAAATGTTCTGAAGGTTTTGCTTGGTTAATTTTGCACGTGTTACCTGGAACCCGATTTTGCTTACCTTTTGATTTCCTGGTCGCATCGGTGTGATATCCTTCCCTTTCAAGTTTTTAGGGTTATGGACCAAACAGTACAATAACACAAGCATCACAAGGATTAAAGCTGGTATCATTTTGATGGCATATTGGTCTATGTTTTCATCGTAGCATACTCCTCGCACGAACGTCGATGCGCCGGGCGGACATTCTGTGACACAACTACCATTGTAGATAAAGTAACTGCCGCTGAACTTACATGTAAATTCCATGACACAATTGGAACCATTCAAGACCCAGTCTTTTGGGCACACTGAATGACATGTATAGCCTAGGCTGTGAAGATCAGGAATAGTAGTGTATGGTGCATCCGTTGGACAGGATGAAATACATATTCCATTGTAAATATATTTGTTCAAGCAGTAACTTTCACAGGTAAAGCCTTTAATAACCATCCCTCCTGGGCACGATGTCACGCATTTACCACCATGTTTATATGGAGCACCCCGTGGACACGACGGTAAACATGTCCCGTTATAAATGACATCTGGTGGACATGATTTAGGATGAATACAGTCATGACCTTTCGTTAAAGATCCCCCTGGGCACTTCGACAAGCATTTACCATCATGTTTATATGGAACACTCCGTGGACACGACGGTAAACATGTCCCGTTGTAAATGACGGCATTAGATTCAAAACGACAATTCGCAACAGTCACACATCGGTTCCCAGGAAACAAGGAACTGTTGGATGGGCATACGGAATAGCAGGTGTTGTCCATTGTATATGGAAAAGTTGGTGAACACGTATCAAGGCACTCGGTTTCTTGAATATATTTCCTTTGAACTTTGCAGTCAAATGCTGGTATGCAAAGCCTACTTGGCAAGCTGACAGTTTTGAGTGGGCACAATGAGTAACAGCGACTGGAGTAGATGTATTGACTTTGTAGAGGACATGCTGTTAAGCATGTGTTGTTATACACCTTGTTGAAACTGGTACACTGTGGTTCCCCAATGCATAGTCTCGATCCTGGTTCACTAATGACACTTCCTTCTGGACATGATTGATAACACCGGCGATGTGATACATATGGCGAAGTTTGTGGACACTTTGAAACACATGTTCCATTTGAAATATAGTTATTGCTTTCCAAACAGTCACTAATGTCAACACATTGCATATCACTGACGACTCTTGTGTTTGGGCACGTGCTCACACAGCTTCCCTCATTGTTAATTGGTGCTTCTAGTGGACACTTATCGACGCATGTCCCATTGAATATTACCATATAACGACCGGATGGAGATAAACAATCCCTCTCATTGATGCATGAACCATTAAGGAAGACTGTGTTTTCTGGACAGTTACTATGACAGTAGTGGTCAACTAGGAACGGTGCAGCAACCGGACAGTAAGCTATGCAAGCATTGTGATACAAACTCATGTTCCTTTGCCAACATTCTTCTGCAGAAACGCATTTATCTCCAAGAAGGAACTTTGCTGTCGGACACTCACTGAAACATGTACTGTGATCACTGTAAGGCGCTTCTTGAGGACAGGCCGCGACACAGGAGTTATTGAATATTACCCTTCTTAGTTTAACAGTGCAATATTCCTTAGTGAAACAGCTTGTCCCATTGCCTGATACAGCGACACTGGGAGGACAGGAACGATGACAAACACCTTGCAGAGTGTATTTGTGTTCTGGAGGGCATTGAGCTACACATGAAATTCCATTGACGAAACCGTTCTTCTTACAATCCTCCAGAAACAGGCATTCCGTTCCATTAACGACTGTATTAGATGGACATGTTCTGTAACAAGTCCCTTCCTTCTGGAAAGGCATGGAGGAAGGACACATTGCCAGACAAGTCCCGTTAAATAGTACCTGGTTATGCTTTGACTTGCAGTATGTTCCATTCAAACATTCCGTTCCAATTAAAATGGTATGTCTTGGACACTGCTTGTTGCATGTTTGTGTCCCTTGATGGTAATATGTCCCAATAGGACAGGAATGCACACATCTTCTACCATAAACCAGAAATCCTCTTCTCACACACTCCTTCACACCTATACAGTAGTCAAAATGGTTTCCTATTGACACTCGATTTGGACCACACCAGCGAGTGTCCGCCATTCCTACCAGAAAACCTAAAAGCAGGGTCCAAGATCCCAGAGTAAACATCGTCCTCGATCTTACCATGGACAAGAAGACCGTTATGTCGAACTTTGATATGCCGAATGTACGGTTCTCTCGAAGTGGAAGCTTAGTCCGCGTGTATTCCTTGTTTAGTCATCATTTGTTTTGTGTCGTACCTCGGATAACTCGAAGTGCTTTCGTACGTAAATTGCGATACAGTGGAGTTCACCACATGTTGATTGGTGCAGAGGCCTTGGTCTGAAATAATACAGACATGTTTCAGGTTGAGTGGTAATTTAAAGGTGTATGGTTTATTAGATATGTGTCACGCTTTACACGAACACACAGACAGACAGACAGACAAACAGACACAGAGCTCAGTTGTATAGAACAGTTAAACTCCGAGGTTCACCAATGATATTGGAAGAGACAGATGCGATGTGTGTGTGTGTGTGTGTGTGTGTGTGTGTGTTTGGTGTGGGGTAGGGGTGGTGTGAGGGTGGGGTGTGTAGGGGTGGTGGGGAGGGGTGGTGTGTGTGTGTGTGTGTGTGTGTGTGTGCGCGTGATATGTTTCGGTAGTGTCATCAAACATTGTGACATAGTTTGGTCTTGTTGTACAAGATGTTTTTCCACACACAAACAGGCCAAACCACACCAAGCAAGTTGCTGTAACATCATTAATTATGCTATGTTAAATATATCATGCCATGTCACCCCTTCAATTGTTTTAATGGGTTGTCATTGGGGTGACCTTCATTATTGGCATTTATTTCTGGAGTTGTAACGCATGAAAATTGATTAAAATTGAGTAATGTGGGGTTTTAAAATAAATATAAATACATGGTGTGTGTGTGTGTGTGTGTGTGTGTGTGTGTGTGTATGTGTGTGTGTGTGTGTGTGTGTCTGTCTGTATGTATATATAACACCATCACTGTATGTCGGCCTAACGTGTGAGGAAAGCCCGTGTAATACATATCGCAGACATTCACCGCCTTCGTTTAAAGCATAATCACGGACATGGTGCCGACAATCCTTTCCAAGAAACACAATCGGGATCAAATGGGATTCGAACCCACAATGATAGGTTTCTTTGCAGGCAGTCACCCTGAAGTATACAGCCGAGGTGATTCATCATTGTTAGAGAAACTTACGTCACTGCGTCCTTGAACTTTACTCGCCTGTAAGTGCGTTTCCCTGTTTGTTTGCGGGTGCCACTGACGACGGATATTGGCAAGCGGAAGACTGGGGTATGTGAAATATAGTTTTACTTTTCAGCAGTATACGGGACTAAACATCCAGTTAAGGGTGGTTCATTCAATTCGGCAAGTAAGTATTAAAGTGTTACAGTACATAAATGGATAAAAAAACCACAGAAACAGTTAAGATTGAGAGGTGTAATGCACATTCATAGGCTTCTACAACACCCAATATCTGATACGGTAAACAGCGATATTGATTATAGTCCCACAATGTAGTTCTCACGGACAGTAAATAATATCATGAACTGTAAGTATACAACACCAAAAATCAGTTACCTTTTACTAATCCGTAAACCACACACAAAACCTTTTCATTGTGGTGATCAGCTCTCGTCTCACTGCACAGGCCCTCAGTCCAACATTCGGGGATTCCCCTAACAGACACCCTACTTTTCAAGCTCTATTACGCGTCAGAAGTGAATATATCTATTCAAGCACAGGCAAACTGTACATGTAGCGCAAATAGGGTTGCGCAACAAAAAGAAAATGACCAGTCTTCCTATATGCGCGCTAAGCGAGCAGAGGTTGGCAACGTACTTCCCTTCCCTCGGTTCGAAAAATATTTTTAATATCAAAATAAAATAAATATATCGCCACCATCAAAGGTAGATACCCAATTCCTCACAGGGTTGTGCTCTCAGATTTTCAAGCTCATATTTAATAACAACAAGGAGAGTTCTATGGATATACACCTTCTTTAATATGATATGAGCGACGTTTCGGTGTAGCTACTAACACCGTTATCAAGCAAATGATGTACAATACTAGATGCAAGGTATATTTATATACATAGTAAAGTTGAACAGTAAGTGATGATGTTTACACAATTATTGAGGTAGATGTACAAGGTGGTGGATGTTTACACAAGAGGCCAATAGTTACACAAACATAGTAAGCTTTTGGGGATTAAGGGAGGAAGCCAGTGATATGACAGACAGGAGAATAATAGGATTAAGAGTGCTTGGTGATGAGTTGGTTGTAGGCAGTGGGGATGTAATATCCTTGGTCTCTGTTCATGGCCGGTTGGAGTCTCTTGATGTGAATGGCTTCTAGTAGCTTTCTGATCTTGTAGTGGGTGGGATTGCTGGTGAGTACATTGATGCTGTTCCATAGGATGTTGTGGTCTGGGTGAGCTTGGGTGTGGTCAGATATGGCGTATTTCGTACATGGGCGAAACCTCAAGACCCCTTCCTGTAAGAATCAAAGAACATCAAGCCTCTGTGAAGAAGAAAGGCTCTAAATCCGTCATCTCTGACCACACCCAAGCTCACCCAGACCACAACATCCTATCATTTGCTAGATGTATACCAAATAATTCGTAATATGTCAAAAAACAAGATCGAGATTTACGATATACCTAGCTTTCATAGTCATTTTCCAACAATTTGGCTTTGGTTTAAACGACACTGAATGATATCTAGAAACAAGAAATTGTCCGCAGAATCTAAAACTGTTTAGTGTATTTGTGTTGAATTTTATTCAACTTATACATGAGGGTTGAAAGTAAACAAGTAACAGTGCATAACCCATAACTGCATAATTGCATGGGGGTGGGGGTGGGGGTCATTGCAATTTTCATTCCGAGAAAATAACTTGAGACCCTCAGCCTTGTGATTCTATTGTATTACTCTGTGCAAGTGTCATTTAACCTCCTTGCATAGACACGTTTTGCTGGTAAAAAACATTTACTGATTCTTGCAGACGTTGTAGCAATGGCCACATCGAGTGATGGCGATACCCTGATCCAGCTGGAAGAAGAGGAGGAGGAGGACTTTGAGCTGACACAGCGTCGTATAGAGGCTGAGAGAGCTGCTAGGGAGGAAGAAGCGTTCAAAAGGAACACCCTCAACCTTGACATCCCCAAACTTCCAGACGGAAAAACACACCATCTTTTTATTTCCCACAGCACAGAAGACGAAGCATGGGCAGAGGAACTGGTCAACACCATGGAACGAGACTTCGGCTTGAAATGTCTTTGGCCAAAAAGAGATTTTAAACCAGGTCGGGACCTTGGATCGTTAATACAGGAAGGGATCGTGTGTTCCATGAAGGTCGTCTTCGTTATGACCCCAGAGGCAGTGGAGAGTGGGTGGTGTGAGTATGAACGCAATTTGGCTTTTGGAATATCTGTGGACAGCCCAGAGAACCTCATAATTCCTGTTAAACTGAAAGAGTGTGAGTTTCCTGGAATAATGCGAACCATGAACTATGTCGATGTAACAGCAGGGGAAGACCATGTCTTCAGAATCCGACGCTCTTTTGACGAAGACACATGTAAGTTTATCATTAAAACCTATAGATGGCATAATATAATACTTCTTCATTCAATTACTGGGTATTTAAAAGCATTTTATTTTGTCAAATTAGGGCCTCAATAACATCAGTTATGCCTATCTTTGATTATTCGGTCAAAAGTTGATTATTACATTTCAAGCAAACATCTTATTTATAATAACTATTTGTATAAGATTTATATTAATGCAATTATTATTTGGGTATAGGAATTAACTGCTCTAGATCCCATTTGCGAAACGTGTTGGGCAGCGTTTCATCTTTCAAGATGAAAATAAAAAGCATATGCTCATCGCGCCAGGACTGTGACCGAATTGCTCCAATAGATATACGTTCACGTCAGTCCTGACCACTTTCCCTATACATATTTGGGAAATCAAATTGGAACAACGTGCCATCCAGACGTACCTATACATGTGTGGTGTGAAAAAATCATCAAAGAAATGTTACTAATTAACAATTAAATTTACCTAGGTTTACAAGCGATTACAAAATGCTGCAACGTAATTTCACTGGCAGTACAGAACAGAGTGGCAATACAAATTTAATGCCAGTTATGAAAATAATCACTTAGCCGCATCAGTGGCCAAGTTCCCATAATAGACCTTGGCTAGGTATCCAGGATGAAAGGTCAACTGCTGGTCATGATGTAATGTGTGATAACCGAGGCAATAATCCACCCCTTCTAGAACATACTGTAAGATAGGGGTGGGGCTATGTTCATAATTATTATGTTCTACTGGTCTTGATGTAATGTGTGATAACCGAGGCAATAGTGCACCCTTCTGGAACATAGTGTAAGATAGGGGTTGGGCTAGTTCATGAATATGTTCTACTGGTCTTGATGTAAAGTGTGATAACCGAGGCAATAGTGCACCCTTCTGGAACATACTGTAAGATAGGGATGGGGCTATGTTCATAAGTATTATGTTCTACTGGTCTTGATGTAATGTGTGATAACCGAGGCAATAATCCACCCTCTGGAACATACTGTAAGACAGGGGTGGGGCTATGTCAATATGTTCTACTGGTCTTGATGTAATGTGTGATAACCGAGGCAATAATCCACCCCTTCTAGAACATACTGTAAGATAGGGGTTGGGCTATGTTCATAATTATTATGTTTTACTGGTCTTGATGTAATGTGTGATAACCGAGGCAATAATCCATCCTTCTGGAACATACTGTAAGACAGGGGTTGGGCTACGTCAATATGTTCTACTGGTCTTGATGTAAAGTGTGATAACCGAGGCAATAATCCACCCCTTCTAGAACATACTTTAAGATAGGGATGGGGCTATGTTCATAATTATTATGTTCTACTGGTCTTGATGTAATGTGTGATAACCGAGGCAATAGTGCATCCTTCTGGAACATACTGTAAGACAGGGTTGGGGCTATGTTCATATGTCATAAGGTGTACAGATTTTAAAGTCTGAAGATATTCTCAGCAGCATATACGAAGAGGTAAGAAAACTAACTGCTGTTTCTGTCATGTTGAGGCACTTTATTGTTCTGTCGGTTGCTGTTATGAACATATATGATGTTTATGAGAGATTTTATCTTCACTGCCTATTTTGCGGATGTCAGGCTAATCATCATAGATGCTACTGTAAGTGTCACACCATGTCAATATTTTCAGGTGATATGAAGTTCCTCGTGCCAGAAGTGAAAAATCGAGAAAAGAGAGCAGGTATTAACACATTCGGTAAAAAATGAAACATAATTTGCATGAGTGAGTGAGTGAGTGAGTGAGTGAGTGAGTTTAGTTTTACGCCGCTTTTAGAAATATTCCAACAATATCACCAGAAATGGGGGGACACCAGAAATGGGCATCACACATTGTACCCATGTGGGGAATCGAACCCGGGTCTTCAGTGTGACAAGCGAACGCTTTAACCGCTAGCTAGGCTACCCCATTGCCCCTGATTTGTATGATGACCTTTAAAAATCCCATGCCATTTCTGTAAAAATGAAATACATACAACCATTTTACCGAATCCACTTGAACCATTCGACATGTACGTAAAGTTGAAATATGTGCATGTGAATAATGTAATCACTGAAAGTACATGCAAATGTATGAGAGTGTATTATAGAACATCCAAGCCTTTCACTGTATTACTTACCCGTGAAAGTCCGGGTTAGAATATTGGCCTTCAGTAACCCATGCTTGTCGTAAGAGGCGACTAACGGGTGGTCAGGCTCGCTGACTTGGTTGACATATGTCATCGATTCCCAATTGCGCAGATCGCTCATGCTGTTGATCACTGGATTGTCTGATCCAGACTTTATTATTTACAGACAGCCGCCATATAGTTGGAATATTGCTGAGTGCGGTAAAACTAAACTCACTCACTCACTACACCGTATTACTGAGTTCTATGGCAAACATCAAACAATGATATTGTTTCATCACCTGATCCTTTTATCATATTAAACAATATAAACCCAATTACGCCGGTGCTTGCTTCCCAATTGGAGCGCCTTCAGCTTCAATTGTTAATCAAAGTTAAATATAATTCAAATGATATCATCAAAGTTCTATTTACTCATGTTGAGAACATTCTTAAAGATATTTCTTAATCAATGGTATTGTTATATTTGGAAACTATCTACATTAAGAACAACTGAATGGACGAATGGTTCAGATCCGTGGTGAACAAGTTTTCAAATCATGCATGGGGCCGGCGTGGTGGTTTTCAAGTCTTGACCAGCATCAGCGCTACCAGTTACGGCAGCTTGGAAGCAAGGTGATGCAACCATTAGCAGATCCGGCAATGTATTAATGTGTTGTAATTTACCCGTGGAGTTTGGCTGTAAACAGCACCAAGGACTGGTTTCAACGAAACACAGTGAATAAGAAGAACATACACGAATGCCTGGTGTCACTATTGTTGATCTTCAGTGATCTACTCATGTCATTTTCACCACTTTTGTTTTCCTAATTAAATTCCTAGATCGAGATTGTTTTATATTTCTTTTGATTATTTTGCCAACACTAAAGACAATATAAATCTCAAATGATTGACATTTTTACATTTTCCTACATTTTTACAATGAAGTTGGTATGGCAAGAAATTTGAAATGGTAACATGATTTTGAGTACATATAACTATAAACAGGAGCAATAATTGATGAATCCTATCTGAATGGGTCTACGTGATTCATATAACTATAAACAGGGGCAATAATTGATGAACCCTATCTGAATGGGTCTACATGATTCATATAACTATAAACAGGGGCAATAATTGATGAATCCTATCTGAATGGGTCTACGTGATTCATATAACTATAAACAGGGGGCAATAATAGATGAATCCTATCTGAATGGGTCTACGTGATTCATATAACTATAAACAGGGGCAATAATAGATGAATCCTAACTGAATGGGTCTACATGATTCATATAACTATAAACAGGGGCAATAATAGATGAATCCTATCTGAATGGGTCTACGTGATTCATATAACTATAAACAGGGGCAATAATAGATGAATCCTATCTGAATGGGTCTACGTGAATCATATAACTATAAAGAGGGGCAATAATAGATGAATCCTATCTGAATGGGTCTACGTGAAACATATAACTATAAACAGGGGCAATAATTGATGAATCCTATCTGAATGGGTCTACGTGATTCATATAACTATAAACAGGGGCAATAATTGATGAATCCTATCTGAATGGGTCTACGTGAATCATATAACTATAAACAGGGGCAATAATAGATGAATCCTATCTGAATGGGTCTACGTGATTCATATAACTATAAACAGGAGCAATAATTGATGAATCCTATCTGAATGGGTCTACGTGATTCATATAACTATAAACAGGGCAATAATTGATGAATCCTATCTGAATGGGTCTACGTGATTCATATAACTATAAACAGAGGGGCAATAATTGATGAATCCTATCTGAATGGGTCTACGTGATTCATATAACTATAAACAGGGCAATAATTGATGAATCCTATCTGAATGGGTCTACATGATTCATATAACTATAAACAGGAGCAATAATAGATGAATCCTATCTGAATGGGTCTACGTGATTCATATAACTATAAACAGGAGCAATAATAGATGAATCCTATCTGAATGGGTCTACGTGATTCATATAACTATAAACAGGAGCAATAATAGATGAATCCTATCTGAATGGGTCTACGTGATTCATATAACTATAAACAGGAGCAATAATAGATGAATCCAATCTGAATGGGTCTACATGATACATATAACTATAAACAGAAGCAATAATAGATGAATCCTATCTGAATAGGTCTACATGATTGATATAACTATAAACAGGGGCAATAATTGATGAATCCTATCTGAATGGGTCTACGTGATTCATATAACTATAAACAGGGGCAATAATTGATGAATCCTATCTGAATGGGTCTACGTGATTCATATAACTATAAACAGGAGCAATAATTGATGAATCCTATCTGAATGGGTCTACGTGATTCATATAACTATAAACAGGAGCAATAATTGATGAATCCTAACTGAATGGGTCTACGTGATTCATATAACTATAAACAGGAGCAATAATTGATGAATCCTATCTGAATGGGTCTACGTGATTCATATAACTATAAACAGGAGCAATAATTGATGAATCCTATCTGAATGGGTCTACGTGATTCATATAACTATAAACAGGAGCAATAATTGATGAACCCTATCTGAATGGGTCTACGTGATTCATATAACTATAAACAGGAGCAATAATTGATGAATCCTATCTGAATGGGTCTACGTGATTCATATAACTATAAACAGGAGCAATAATTGATGAATCCTATCTGAATGGGTCTACGTGATTCATATAACTATAAACAGGAGCAATAATTGATGAATCCTATCTGAATGGGTCTACGTGATTCATATAACTATAAACAGGAGCAATAATTGATGAATCCTATCTGAATGGGTCTACGTGATTCATATAACTATAAACAGGAGCAATAATTGATGAATCCTATCTGAATGGGTCTACGTGATTCATATAACTATAAACAGGGGCAATAATTGATGAATCCTATCTGAATGGGTCTACATTGATTCATATAACTATAAACAGGGGCAATAATTGATGAATCCTATCTGAATGGGTCTACATGATTCATATAACTATAAACAGGAGCAATAATAGATGAATCCTATCTGAATGGGTCTACGTGATTCATATAACTATAAACAGGAGCAATAATTGATGAATCCTAACTGAATGGGTCTACGTGATTCATATAACTATAAACAGGGGCAATAATAGATGAATCCTAACTGAATGGGTCTACGTGATTCATATAACTATAAACAGGGGCAATAATTGATGAATCCTATCTGAATGGGTCTACATGATTCATATAACTATAAACAGGAGCAATAATTGATGAATCCTAACTGAATGGGTCTACGTGATTCATATAACTATAAACAGGGGCAATAATAGATGAATCCTATCTGAATGGGTGTACGTGATTCATATAACTATAAACAGGGGCAATAATAGATGAATCCTATCTGAATGGGTCTACGTGATTCATATAACTATAAACAGGAGCAATAATTGATGAATCCTATCTGAATGGGTCTACGTGATTCATATAACTATAAACAGGAGCAATAATTGATGAATCCTATCTGAATGGGTCTACGTGATTCATATAACTATAAACAGGGGCAATAATAGATGAATCCTATATGAATGGGTCTACATGATTCATATAACTATAAACAGGAGCAATAATTGATGAATCCTATCTGAATGGGTCTACGTGATTCATATAACTATAAACAGGGGCAATAATAGATGAATCCTATCTGAATGGGTCTACGTGATTCATATAACTATAAACAGGGGGCAATAATAGATGAATCCTATCTGAATGGGTCTACGTGATTCATATAACTATAAACAGGGGCAATAATTGATGAATCCTATCTGAATGGGTCTACGTGATTCATATAACTATAAACAGGAGCAATAATAGATGAATCCTATCTGAATGGGTCTACGTGATTCATATAACTATAAACAGGGGCAATAATTGATGAATCCTATCTGAATGGGTCTACGTGATTCATATAACTATAAACAGGAGCAATAATTGATGAATCCTATCTGAATGGGTCTACGTGATTCATATAATATAACAATATAAACAACTGGAGCACTATAAAGAGCAATAATAGATGAATCCTATCTGAATGGGTCTACATGATTCATATAACTATAAACAGGGCAATAATAGATGAATCCTATCTGAATGGGTCTACATGATTCATATAACTATAAACAGGAGCAATAATTGATGAATCCTATCTGAATGGGTCTACGTGATTCATATAACTATAAACAGGAGCAATAATTGATGAATCCTATCTGAATGGGTCTACATGATTCATATAACTATAAACAGGGGCAATAATTGATGAATCCTATCTGAATGGGTCTATGATTCATATAACTATAAACAGGAGCAATAATAGATGAATCCTATCTGAATGGGTCTACGTGATTCATATAACTATAAACAGGAGCAATAATAGATGAATCCTATCTGAATGGGTCTACGTGATTCATATAACTATAAACAGGGGCAATAATTGATGAATCCTATCTGAATGGGTCTACATGATTCATATAACTATAAACAGGGGCAATAATTGATGAATCCTATCTGAATGGGTCTACGTGATTCATATAACTATAAACAGGGGCAATAATTGATGAATCCTATCTGAATGGGTCTACGTGATTCATATAACTATAAACAGGAGCAATAATTGATGAATCCTATCTGAATGGGTCTACGTGATTCATATAACTATAAACAGGAGCAATAATAGATGAATCCTATCTGAATGGGTCTACATGATTCATATAACTATAAACAGGAGCAATAATTGATGAATCCTATCTGAATGGGTCTACATGATTCATATAACTATAAACAGGAGCAATAATTGATGAATCCTATCTGAATGGGTCTACATGATTCATATAACTATAAACAGGAGCAATAATAGATGAATCCTATCTGAATGGGTCTACATGATTCATATAACTATAAACAGGAGCAATAATAGATGAATCCTATCTGAATGGGTCTACATGATTCATATAACTATAAACAGGAGCAATAATAGATGAATCCTATCTGAATGGGTCTACATGATTCATATAACTATAAACAGGGGCAATAATAGATGAATCCTATCTGAATGGGTCTACGTGATTCATATAACTATAAACAGGAGCAATAATAGATGAATCCTATCTGAATGGGTCTACGTGATTCATATAACTATAAACAGGAGCAATAATAGATGAATCCTATCTGAATGGGTCTACATGATTCATATAACTATAAACAGGAGCAATAATAGATGAATCCTATCTGAATGGGTCTACATGATTCATATAACTATAAACAGGAGCAATAATTGATGAATCCTATCTGAATGGGTCTACGTGATTCATATAACTATAAACAGGAGCAATAATAGATGAATCCTAACTGAATGGGTCTACGTGATTCATATAACTATAAACAGGAGCAATAATAGATGAATCCTATTTGAATGGGTCTACATGATCATTAAGTGTGCATAGAGCATCGTTGCATCTTTATCTCTTGAAGGTTAGGTAATGTAATATTGTCACTTCTTGGTTGTATGCATTTCAACTGATCTTGAGGCAGACGGATAATATAACCCTTGCAATGGCTTCCTTACTAAACTTTCAAGCATAAATCCAAAATTACATGAAATCTCATCCTTGGTGCTCCATTCGCAGCAGTGACTGGTTTTAATATATATTCAACCTTCTGTTTCAGTTTGCTGAAAGAACTTATTATGAAGCACGGGATGTGATCAACAAGTCCTTCCGCATGAAATACTTTTCCATCTTCAGTTCCTGTTGGCGATGCTGCAGTTGGTGCTTCATCGGCTTGGTTTTGTGGTTTCTACTTGTAGCATTCATTGTGGCCTTGATACATACGAAACAAAACCATCTGTTTGATGCAACGTTTATGTGGTTTGGAATATTTCCGGGACTGCTAGCTGTGCAAATAACTGTGTTTTTTCACTACCCGAAGATTGGTGAGTGTATGTTGTATCACGCATGTGGACCTCTACTGTTCAGCTGCCAACCATTATATTTGATGTATCTGCATAGTGAATGAATAAGTTCTGTACAGCGATTCAGTAACCTTTTCACTAATATGTCTATCGACTTTCGTTTTCTATTAATCCTGCCTTAATGATCTGCCCAACTATACTGTTTCAGTGATTGTGAATTCATGAATAATAGCCGTTACATATACATATGAAAAGTTTGACCAATGAAATTGGGTAACGCTACATTGCATGCGAATGGCGCAATGTAATATGTGTAAGTATTCATGTCATGGTTATAGCATATACGTCCACGTCAACGTATATCAGACTCGGCCATGTTGGGGTACTCGTAACACCACTGTCTAACTATACATAGCCATTGTTGGACAACAGGAAGGTACCACCCTTTTGTAGCGGATTATGAATCGTTGCCTGCTCACTCAGACACATGTGACTCTGTGGAGCTCATTTCCAATAAGGCACTTTGACCAGCTTCCCTTACACAGTCGTTCTGATGATTCTGACTTTATGCCAGTTGTCGCCCTTGGTAGACCGGGCGTGTGTCATAAAAGTTATTTTTCTGTCGTGATTGTAATCTGTTAATTACTGACTGAAACGTTGAGAGCTCTTGCTACAATGTTCTGTCATGTTCCAGCATCCATTTCAATTACTTGTAGCCGTTCCTGACGTGACAGACGCCTCATGTAAAAAAACCCGATTACCTGAGTTAAAACAATATCAGAGAAACTTCTGGATTTTATCACTAGGATGTCCAGCATTCACAGCAAATGCCCATTTTCCATATCCAAGTCCATATAAGGTCATACAACTTTGTTGTCAAATATTGTCAAATAGAATATCCCTTACTTTTTGTATAGTATATTTGAAATATTTGCTTGTGACACAATTGAACACAATTGACCAGTTTGTACATCATTTCAAAAAATCTGTGACTGTGGTGAGCTGTATCAATGACTGTGATGAGCTGTATCAATGACTGTGATGATCTGTATCAATGACTGTGATGAGCTGTATCAGTGACTGAGGTGAGCTGTATCAATGACTGTGATGAGCTGTATCAATGACTGTGATGAGCTGTATCAATGACTGTGATGAGCTGTATCAATGACTGTGATGAGCTGTATCAATGACTGTGATGAGCTGTATCAATGACTGTGATGAGCTGTATCAGTGACTGAGTGAGCTGTATCAATGACTGTGATGAGCTGTATCAATGACTGTGGTGAGCTGTATCAATGACTGTGATGAGCTGTATCAATGACTGTGGTGAGCTGTATCAATGACTGTGATGAGCTGTATCAATGACTGTGGTGAGCTGTATCAATGACTGAGGTGAGCTGTATCAATGACTGTGATGAGCTGTATCAATGACTGTGGTGAGCTGTATCATGATGACTGCTGTATGAGCTGTATCAATGACTGTGGTGAGCTGTATCAATGACTGTGGTGAGCTGTATCAATGACTGTGGTGAGCTGTATCAATGACTGAGGTGAGCTGTATCAATGACTGTGGTGAGCTGTATCAATGACTGTGGTGAGCTGTATCAATGACTGTGAGTGAGCTGTATCAATGACTGTGGTGAGCTGTATCAATGACTGTGGTGAGCTGTATCAATGACTGAGGTGAGCTGTATCAATGACTGTGGTGAGCTGTATCAATGACTGTGGTGAGCTGTATCAATGACTGAGCTGTATCAGTGACTGTGGTGAGCTGTATCAATGACTGTGATGAGCTGTATCAGTGACTGTGGTGAGCTGTATCAATGACTGTGATGAGCTGTATCAATGACTGTGATGAGCTGTATCAATGACTGTGGTGAGCTGTATCAATGACTGTGATGAGCTGTATCAATGTATGATGAGGTGTATCTGTATCACTGTGATGAGCTGTATATCAATGACTGTGATGAGCTGTATCAATGACTGAGGTGAGCTGTATCAATGACTGTGGTGAGCTGTATCAATGACTGTGGTGAGCTGTATCAATGACTGTGGTGAGCTGTATCAATGAGGTGAGCTGTATCAATGACTGTGGTGAGCTGTATCAATGACTGTGATGAGCTGTATCAATGACTGTGATGAGCTGTATCAATGACTGTGGTGAGCTGTATCAATGACTGTTGTGACTGTATCAACTGACTGAACCTGATTGTATCAATGACTGTGATGAGCTGTATCAATGACTGTGAGGTGAGCTGTATCAATGACTGTGGTGAGCTGTGGTGAGCTGTATCAATGACTGTGATGAGCTGTATCAATGACTGTGATGAGCTGTATCAATGACTGTGGTGAGCTGTATCAATGACTGTGGTGAGCTGTATCAATGACTGAGGTGAGCTGTATCAATGACTGTGATGAGCTGTATCAATGACTGTGATGAGCTGTATCAATGACTGTGATGAGCTGTATCAATGACTGTGATGAGCTGTATCAATGACTGTGATGAGCTGTATCAATGACTGTGGTGAGCTGTATCAATGACTGTGGTGAGTTGTATCAATGACTGCGATGAGCTGTAAAATATATACATGGTGAACGTGGTAGATATTTTTGTAAAGAAGAAGAACAACCTGGGTTTTGGTTGCCACTATTAGTGTTAGCTCTACAGCCACGACAGGAACGACGACGGTGTTGTCTTCTCGCTTGTAACTATTGCAACATTCATATGGACAAGGAGCATGTTATGGAAGGTACGGTGAAACGCAAACTGGATGACTGTGTCAGGAGGTGAAGTGATGAGACATTGGGTAATTTTCTAGCTGGATGGCGGCGGTCTGAAAATGATCGAATTTGGACCATGCAATCCAGTGACCATCATGAGCATCGATCTATGTAATTGGGGATGCTATGACATGCCTGAACCAGGTCAGCGAGCCTGGCCACCCGATCCCGTTCGTCGCCTCTTGGGACAAGCATGGGTTACTGAAGATTAATTCTCACCAGGATCTTCAGGGTTCAGTTGGGTTTAGCGTTGCGTTCTAAGATTATTGCACTTATAATGCAATCTGTATGTGTGCGTGCGTGCGTGCATGCATGTATGTGTCACGCTTGTACTGGTGCTGACTAATCGCCTTAAAGGGCCTCTAGGCAAAATAACAAGTTTTTATACATTAGCATCTTTTGATAAGACGCATCCGGAACTTGATATCCACCCACCATCCGCTCTCTGAGCTCAGGCTGTATCCAGTAGACCCCTGAGTCGATATTCACCCACAACCCGCTCTTCTGAGCTCAGGCTGTATCCAGTAGACCCCGGAGTCGATATACACCCACCATCCGCTCTCTGAGCTCAGGCTGTATCCAGTAGACCCCGGAGTCGATATCCACCCACCATCCGCTCTCTGAGCTCAGGCTGTATCCAGTAGACCTCGGAGTCGATATCCACCCACAACCCGCTTTCTAATCAGGGTGAGCTCCTGTTGTACCTCGGAGTCAATACACCCACCGCTTTATCCAAAACAACCTTAGTATTAAGGCTACCTTATCTCCTTAAGTTTTAACCTTAGCCCTTTGCTAAGGCTGACGCCCCGTTGTACGAATCTACCTTACGCTAAGATAGCCTTTATTAGCTAAGGTGAAAATTTAAGGTTGGTCCGACCCAACCTTAGTGTAGCTAAGGTTTACATTTCGAGTAAATTCAGTGTGGCTACATTCTTGTTGATGTGTAAGAAAACTGGAAAAAGTTTGAATAAATAGATCGGAGGCTATGTTTAATAGATGAATGAGTCATGTAAGGCTTTGCCTTTGTTATTGGGGCATTTATGAACTGGTGTGTTCATATCCTGAAACCCTAACGCTGACTTACCCTGTCACTGAAATATCTTTAAGAAAGATAAAACATCCACTTGTGCATTATAAATTTATAGAATATTTTAAACGTGGAAAATAACACAGTTCATTAACATGTTGATCCTGACACGGTAATGAGATCCTTCTAAAAAGGATTTTGTCTTCTGAATGGCGTTATTGGTGAAAAATAATGATTTCCAAATTAAAGGGGATTTTTAAAGTGGCTCCAGAACATGAACAGCCGTTTTCTAACAGAGTGGTTGTACTGGACTTTGCTGAAAACAAATGCGCACAATATTTTCAGAAGCGAAAGAGTAAATCTGACTAAACATACAAGATACCAAGTGTGTCGTAGTAGAGGCTGGGTAGAATGTCATATGTGAGTGTACACTAATAGGATCCAAATGGACCCACGGCAGAGGTCATGGTTGTGCCAAAAATACTACGTTTAAAGAATCTGGTGAGTTGAAATTTACTTTCAATGTTTCGGGACTTACGTACCCTCTCAGGAGGACATTAATTTTACAATACTTTAACCCCGTGTGAGGGTACAGCCACTAACAACGCATGGTACTAATCTAAACTACCAATTATTACAATACACCTATCTACAAAACATATGACTGACTGACTGAGTGAGTTGGGTTTTACGCCGCTTTTAGCAATATTCCAGCAGCATCACGGCGGGGACACCAGAAATGGGCTTCACACATTGTGCCCATGTGGGGATTCGAACCCGGGTCTTCGGCGTGACGAGCCAACGCTTTAACCACTAGGCTACCTCGCCGCCCTACAAAACATATGAATCAAAATTCATCAATTAAATCAATTTCTTTTAAAAAGGGCATCAAAGATGTAGACATATATTGCTGAGAAAAGTTACGGCACGTCATCATCATCATAGGATATTTATATAGCGCACATATCCAGGCAACTAGTGCATGCTCAAGGCTCTACGGCACGTGTTTGTGAACCACGATTGGTTTGTCATATATTCATTTATTAGTTCCGGGTATAGGTTTTTTAGACACTAGCACAGAAGAATGAAAGGATGTTTCCGTCTGTTTTGCATGTAGCTCAGACACAGCTTTTGTTTGTATAATGTTTCCTTGTTTTATTTGTCTTTGTCCAGAAGTTCATCTGTGATAAGATGCATGATACTGTAGACGGTGATGGAGCCTGGCGGGACGTGAGTACAGAGGTATGATCAGCATATATCTATGTAACATTTTCTGTCCCCAAGACCAGGATTAGAATCTGGACCCTAGCGGGACGTGAGTACAGAGGTATGATCAGCATAATAATATATATGTAACATTTTCTGTCCCCTAAGACCAGGATTAGACTCTGGACCCTGGCAGGACGTGAGTACAGAGGTATGATCAGCATATATCTATGTAACATTTTCTGTCCCCCAAGACCAGGATTAGAATCTGGACCCTGGCAGGACGTATGTACAGAGGTATGATCAGCATATATCTATGTAACATTTTCTGTCCCCCAAGACCAGGATTAGAATCTGGACCCTGGCAGGACGTATGTACAGAGGTATGATCAGCATATATCTATGTAACATTTTCTTCCCCCAAGACCAGGATTAGAATCTGGACCCTGGCGGGACGTATGTACAGAGGTATGATCAGCATATATCTATGTAACATTTTCTGTCCCCCAAGACCAGGATTAGAATCTGGACCCTGGCGGGACGTAAGTACAGAGGTATGATCAGCATATATCTATGTAACACTTTCTGTCCCCTAAGACCAGGATTAGACTCTGGATCTTCAGCAACTTTCGCTTTAGAGACGGGTCAGATTCGTTATCTCCTTACATCACCTTACACTAGATAATCTTACCCACTCTACTTTATTTAACCTGCATACCTAAACCTTCCCACCTCAACTTATCCTATCCCACCTTCCCCAACCAAAGTGTACTTTACCTTACTTTATTCCACCCCCAATACTGTAGTTAACCTAAACTGATCTACCCTACAAACTGAGTTCTGTTAGCCCTTCTTCAACACGTCATGTTCATATTGTTGTATATGACTATATTGTGAATTCGTTTATTACGTTGTCATCATGTGGCTATAACAATTATAAAATCTTACCAAAAGCGCAGAAAGCATTTGAATTCAGGGCACTCGCAGTCTCAAAAACTATGTTTTGTAGGCCGCCTTTGCTTGTAATCTTTTCTGTGTATTTTTCAGGAAACAACTCAAACAATTGGAAGACGCAAGTTTTTTTCGTTTATTGAAGAGAATTACGAAGCACTCTTTTCCTTCAATATAAATGCATCCATTGTCAGGAGACATCCAACGTTTTATGAAAAAAAATGCATTTGCGAAATTATGGAGAAGAAGATGATGAAGAAGAAGAAAACATAAGAATGACTTTGGGTGTCTCGGCCGAACTATAACTATACACATAAGCAAAGTCAGGAACCAACCACTATATAGAAACGTTGCATTAAATTCAGCTTACTACGAAAAATATAATCAGAGGCAACGTGTCTACAATAGATTATTTACCGAAACCTTGACTTTCTTGGGCATTTTTGTTGACATTTGTTGCTAAGAACTGATACAACGATGTTTTGAGCGGCGATCTCTCAGTTTGGCAGCAGAATTCTTCTACAACAAACATACAGCAGACACATTAAAGTTTTACAAAGTGAAGTCTCTTCAATATCTTTTGTATACACCTCTGGCGGCAGTGGTGTCTCTGACACGTCGCCTCATGCTCTCGATGAATCCTCTGAATGCCCTCATTGGTATCCTGCTTCACTCCTCCACTAAAGCCTGCGATAATTCTAGCAGATTGTTCATGGGAGGATCTCTCAGTTTGGACTTGCGTCCCATAATGTCCCACACATGCTCCACGGGATTCCGGTCTGGGCTTCGAGCTGGTAATGGTATCATTTCAAGTGCATTGTCTTGAAGGAACTGGCGAACTGCGCGTGCGCGGTGGGGTCGAGCATTGTCGTCCATAAATACTGGGCGACTGGCAAGAACATGGTTGTCAAAATGAGGCACCACATGTTGTTTCAGGGTTTCTTTTGGTACCGCTAGTCCATTAATATTCCCACGAATGATTAACAAATCCAGTTTACAGTCAAAAGAACAGCAGCCCCACATCATGTTGCTACTTCCACCAAAAGGGATTTCCTCCTGGATATTTCCCTGGCGGTGAGCCATTCCTTGTGACTGCCATACCCTCGCACGACCATCAGTGGCGTCCAGCAGGAACCGACTTTCATTTGAACAGTGAATACGGCGCCATGACCCTCGTGTTCCAGTTTTGCCATGCACCAATTTGTTTGTGTCTGGGAGTCTGTAGGGGATTTTGAACGACGCCCTGAGACCAGCAGCATGGCGACATCTTCTCACAATACTCGTGGAGACTCTCTGGTGTGACCGCCATTGGCTCCGTACCTGAACAATGTTGAGGAATGGATTGCGTCTGGCCATCCTAACAAGAACCCTGTCTTCCCAGGCATGTTTTGCTCTGTCGCCCAGACATAGCCGCGTCTTCTTTCACGTCTCCACTGGCACCATGTTTCGCAACCAGTCTGCTAATGGTTGTATGGTTGATATTCAACTGTTTGCCTAAAGCGGTTCTACGCATGGCAATGATTTGCAATCTTGTTCCTATGGACAATTTCGGCCTGACTGTACCTCAGATATCAATCCGAATTTGAATATTGCCGTCAATATTGCTTATACAGCAAACACCTGTATATCTCTCATGAGGGTGCCCTCTTCCTTGCGTGCTTCACGTGCAAGTGAAACGTCTCATGCAACATGCTTTATGCTAATATTACGCAAAATGTTTGTCTCTGCACTGGGATGAACTATGAACGACATCACGTCCGAAATCAATGACTTGTTGCAATTAATATTTGGTGGTGCTTGACTTTTGCCGAGGTGTATATAAAACCAGAAATTTACTCAGTGATTGTAATTGTGTCCTATGTCAACACATCATTGCCCTTATCATTGGTCAACTTATACTCTACTTCCACTGAAATTATAAATGGAGGAGAAAGAGCCCATATATTTCTTAGCCCAAAAGTTATGGAATTGTATCTGTTGTTGTATGCAAATGACTTATGTTTGTTTGGAGATTCTGTCATTAATTTACAGAGAAAAATTAACATGTTATCAACAATGGAGTTAGTCTGTCAATTTTGACAAAACTGATGTTTTAGTTTTTAGACTAAAGGAGGCAAATTAAGAAAGTGTGAAGCATGGTATTTTGATAATTGCAAGTTAAAAATATCTACATACTATAACTATTTAGGTTTTTTATTTTCTAACAGGCTATCTTGGTCTAAATCTGTTCAAAATCTTGTAAATAAGGCTAAGAAAGCCTTATCTTTGGTTAAGCGTTTTGCTACTAGATTAAAAATCACCTATTGTTTTATTGAAAATATTTGATGTATAAACTAAACCTATTATTTTATATGCCTCTGAAATATGGGATTTCCATAAATGGGATGTCACTGAGCAATTTCATATAAGGTTTTGTAAATATGTTTTAGGTGTCAGTTATAAGAGTACTAATGTTGCTGTTTTAGCAGAATGTCTGAGAAATTATGTTGATGTTGACTCTTTGTTGAGAGTTATTAGATACTGGTTGAAACCTTTGAATTTATCTAATGAAAGGTACCCAAAGCAATGTTATGTTATGCAGTGTAATATTGACAGAGCTGTTAGGAAGACATGGGTGTATTATGTTAAACATATTTTATTCAATTATGGATTTGGTTATGTATGGGAGGCACAATGAGTCGGGAATAGGGAATTATTTTTACAAGAATTTAATCTTAAAGTAAAGGATTGCCATAAACAATCCATTTGTAAAGATTTGCATAAATTGTCATCTTTAGATGTTTATTCATCAGCGAAACACATTTTCTGGATTGAACCATATCTAACTTTTATCAAATCTAAAGATGCTAAGAATGGGTGCACTTCCTTTATTTAAAAATACTGGTAGACAGGATGGATTACCCAGACATCAAAGACTTTCACTTATGTGTGAGTGCCCAATATATCATGATCTTCGACAAAAATATTTTAAAGGTATGCCAGTGTACATCAATAGGCATTACTTCATATTTACAATTCTTTGTAATAATTATTTGCTTGCTACCAATTGTGCAAATTGTGTAAAAGATGCACTTGCATTACGCATATCATATATGCAGTACAAACTTAATATTAAAATATTATTATCATGTTTTTTTGTACGTGGGCCTAAGGCCTTTTCACGAAATAAACTCATTGATTGATATACGCTACTTCCAACAGTAACTATACAATTACAATACAGTGACAATAAAATAACAATACAATGACAATACAGTAAGAATGCGGAAACAATGCAGTAACAATACATTAACAAGAACGTAACAATACAGTAAAATACAGTAACAATACGGTAGCAATGCAGTAACAACACAGTAACAATACAGTAACACTACAGTAACAATACAGTAACACTACAGTAACAATACAGTAACAATACAGTAACAATACAGTTACAATACAGTACAACAATACAGTAACAATACAGTAACAATACAGTAACAATACAGTAACAATACAGTAACAATACAGTAACAATACAGTAACAATACAGTAACAATACAGTAACAATACAGCAACAATACAGTAACAATACAGTAACAATACAGTAACAATACAGTAACAATACAGTAACAATACAGTAACACTACGGTAGTAACAATACAGTACAGTAACAATACAGTAACAATACAGTAACACTACAGTAACAATACAGTAACAATACAGTAACAATACAGTTAACAATACAGTAACAATACAGTAACAATACAGTAACAATACAGTAACAATACAGTAACAATACAGTAACAATACAGTAACAATACAGTAACAATACAGTAACAATACAGTAACAATACAGTAACAATACAGTAACAATACAGTAACAATACAGTAACAATACAGTAACAATACAGTAACACTACAGTAACAATACAGTAACAATACAGTAACACTACAGTAACAATACAGTAACAATACAGTAATACTACAGTAACACTACAGTAACAATACAGTAACAATACAGTAACAATACAGCAACAATACAGTAACAATACAGTTACAATACAGTAACAATACAGTAACAATACAGTAACAATACATTAACAATACAGCTACAGTAACAATACAGTAACAATACAGTAACACTACAGTAACACTACAGTAACAATACAGTAACAATAGGTAACACTACAGTTAACACTACAGTAACACTACAGTAACAATACAGTAACAATACAGTAACAATACAGTAACACTACAGTAACACTACAGCAACAATACAGTAACAATACAGTAACAATACAGTAACAATACAGTAACACTACAGTAACACTACAGTAACAATACAGTAACAATACAGTAACACTACAGTAACAATACAGTAACAATACAGTAACAATACAGCAACAATACAGTAACAATACAGTAACACTACAGTAACAATACAGTAACAATACAGTAACAATACAGTAACACTACAGTAACACTACAGTAACAATACAGTAACACTACAGTAACACTACAGTAACACTACAGTAACAATACAGCAACACTACAGTAACAATACAGTAACACTACAGTAACAATACAGTAACATTACAGTAACAATACAGCAACAATACAGTAACAATACAGTAACACTACAGTAACACTACAGTAACAATACAATACAGTAACACTACACAGAAGTAACACTACAGTAACACTACAGTAACAATACAGTAACACTACAGTAACACTACAGTAACAACACATGGTAACACTACAGTAACACTACAGTAACACTACAGTAACACTACAGTAACAATACAGCAACACTACAGTAACAATACAGTAACACTACAGTAACAATGCAGTAACACTACAGTAACAATACAGTAACATTACAGTAACAATACAGCAACAATACAGTAACAATACAGTAACACTACAGTAACACTACAGTAACAATACAGTAACACTACAGTAGTAACACTACAGTAACAATACAGTAACACTACAGTAACAATACAGTAACACTACAGTAACACTACAGTAACAATACAGTAACAATACAGTAACACACAGCAACAATACAGTAACATTACATTAACAATACAGCAACAATACAGTAACAATACAGTAACACTACAGTAACAATACAGTAACACTACAGTAACAATACAGTAACACTACAGTAACACTACAGTAACACTACAGTAACAATACAGTAACACTACAGTAACAATACAGTAACACTACAGTAACACTACAGTAACACTACAGTAACAATACAGTAACAATACAGTAACAATACAGCAACAATACAGCAACAATACAGCAACAATACAGTAACATTACTTTAACAATACAGTAACAATACAGTAACAATACAGTAACAATACAGTTACACTACAGTAACAATACAGTAACAATACAGTAACAATACAGTAACAATACAGTAACAATACAGTTACAATACAGTAACAATACAGTAACACTACAGTAACAATACAGTAACAATGCAGGTAACACTACGGTTACAATACAGTAACAATACAATGGTAACAGTAACAATACGGTAACACTACGGTAACAATACGGTT